CTGTCGACCTAACTGTAGAATCCATTTTGAATGCTTTGTTTTGCGAAAATCCCTCCATCTATATATTTTTAATATCTTCTTACCGACTCTTTCTGTGTTACATTTCGATTCTCTGTTGAATCCCATTTTGTGATGTCAATATTTGTATTTTTTTATAGTTTCTGTTTTCGTACCTTTATTGAAGTTTCTATGTTTCCTTCTGAACTGTATTATGTTGTTTAAATTGATACCTGATTATGGCTACAGCCATATCGGATTTGACACCCGTGTAAAATGTGAATCTGGACTGGAAGGAACGAGTTTTGGACCAATACGGAAGCATTCTTCCAGAATTGTAAACAGATTGTGTTATTCTTGACGGAAAACAGTGTAATATTGTTGAGGTAATTATCTGTACCTTTTAATTAATAATAGAACCGTTTCCTACGCAGATAAATTGCTTTCTATTTGGATTAACTGTGCAAAGGGGCGTATCTAAACTCCTAGAACTGTTTTTCCGAAATCAGAGCGCACTCTGATTCTTACATTAACCTAGATTGAACCCAAATAACAGCGTTCTAACAAGTGAGGATTGAATACAAGTTCCTCTGGAATTTATGAGGTTTAAGATTTCTCGCCATTTTTCGCTACCATTTCTTACCATCAAAAATCCTTAAGAAGCGGCTTCAAATACATACTTCGAACTTCATGATGTGGCTTTTAGAGGATATTCATTAAATTCAGACTACTTGTTGCATTATACGTAGCTGATGAAATAAAGACATTATAAACGTCCCTTACCCTGAACAGGCCTAATGTCTAAAATGTGGCCACTTGTAAAATGGAATTCTTTTTAGAACCACGTACACTGAAAATTCACGGACGAAATGCTAAAACCTTATGTCTTGCCCAGTCACTGAAAACATATAGAGTTTCCAACATTCAGCACAGCGTAACAGGAAATACAGTACATAAAAACATATAGTCTAAGCTGTTGCAAACTCATAACGATATGAAACACCATAGACATTCTTGTGGGTCCTGTGAATTATTTTTACAGGTTCTATCATAACAAATCCTTAATAAGAACAACCCGTTTAACACTCGACATGTAGTCACGTCTTCGAATTCCGTTCCGTTTGAAATATTTCAAGAAAGACAAACTGAGTGAGGTAATACTGCAACTGCCACTCCCTTGTTTCGATCGAATAATCTTAGTTGGAGATTTCAATCACCCATCCCTAAATTTCAGCAATCAGGGTACACCTTCCACTGGTTGGTTCCAAAGACGGCTTGGCGCAGCCATTGGAAGCTTTGGGATTACTGAGCACGTATGCAGTGCCAATAGATGGACTAAAGAAAGAAAGTCCTCAAACCTGGATTATTTGTTAACAAGTGATCAGCTCCTGGTCTAGAATGTTCACATGCATACACCAATAGGTAGTAGTGACTATGGCACAATCTTCTTTAACATGTTTGTAAGCGAAACGCCCACACAGGACGGACAAGGGGTTGTGGCCTCTCTAAGATCCGATTGGGGGAGACCACACCTACCTAGAGATGGCTGAGTTCTTCAACACAAACTTCACTGATCACTTAAACCAGGAAACTCCCTGTTCAGAGTACTACACAAACCCAGAGCCAGTTGACGGTTTATGGAGCATTCGTATCACTCCTGACTTATTACTAAGGAAACTTAAATTCCTACGCCCAGTAAGTCACCACGTTTGACAATATTCACCCCATAGTCTTCAAACACTGTGCAGAAGTCCTCTGTTCACCGATATTTGACATGTTCAGGCATTCACTGGATGTACACCGTTCCCCAGCTAAATGGAAACAAGCTAGTCTCCCTACAATCTTGACATGAGGAGATAGAAAGTATCCAGTGTAAGTTCCAGAGTGAACTCTGAATTCGGAAAAACAGTTCTAGAACTCCTCATTGCACCCAGAACACTAATTGGGAGCCTTCTCAGTGGTGCCATTATTGTGGCTGATGCTATTGCCACCCTCACTTACATTCTCCACGCTTAAACATCCAATCTTGTCATGAACTGAAGTACTCTATGAAGCTATACTAGTAGCGATTGAGTAATCCGCACTACTTACAGTGACTCCACTCTCTTTACCATCAAATTTGTTATTCACACCTATCACGCCATCAATAAACACTTGAGGTTTCACTTCAGTCTCATCGTTGTTGTTATCCACAGTGATATTTCTACACTCCTCAGTTGTTGACAAATTGCGAGATAGTCGACATGAAGGCTTTAAGGGTAAGCTACCACTGCTGCCACTTACACTAGCACTATCAATATTGCTTTGACCACTTGGACTAGTATGCGACTGTCCATCACCTTCTGACTTCGAACAAACATCAGCTGGATTTGCTAAACTACCATTATCTTTCGCTCCACTACTATGATACTCCGTAGAACTAGATACAGTAGTCCGCAGACATCCTGATCGTGCAGCAACATGAAGTGCTGTGTCACTGGTTACGCTTGCTATCCTAGGATCAGCTCTAGCTAGTGGTAGATAATTAAACTTACGGGGAGGGTTCAGAATACAATCTTCGTCCTATACAGTCAAACCCTATTCGTCCTTATTATTACTCGCGGCCTCCATTACCCTCTGTTTGCTCGAATCCAAGTGACCTTTCCTGGCCGAACGAGTGAAATTCACATTTCGAGCAATCAGATGACATCTACCATCACACTGCTCGGACCCTTCTTGATGTCTAACCCCTCTGCCTTCTTTCCTGCTTTGCTATCCTCGAAAAAGCCGCCTTATCCTCTACAGATACTGAATTCTCACTAGGATAGATGTCAACAAGCTCTATGTCATAAGGCTTACGATTAACAACCTTCCTAATATCTGGGCGTGATTTAGGTCCAAAAACATTCGAAGAATTCTTCTCCCGATCGCAGATGACTATTCACTTTCATGTTATGTCCTGATTTTGGGCGATTGGTTAATCGTCCAAATCTACTACAGGTTATCTTTGCACGGGACGCTATAAGCTCTGTGAGTTCGGCAAATGTGGGCTCTCTATCTTCATCATTCTATCTAACTGCCAGCTCTGCCTACCGGGCTTGCATGCGGTGAGGTAAAGGCTTCACTATTCGTTCCAAAGTTGCTAAGGAATTCAAATCAGTGGTGCCATTCATTTGCTCCAACACCATGGCGCAATTCGCCATTCTTATACTTGGGTTCGATAGCTGCTCAGCGTCATTATAATCAACATTCCCAGGGTTAAACAGCTCTTCCAACGTTTCTCTAGCCATAACGTGAGATTGCCCGAATAGCCTTTTCAGAATCTCTTTAGCGCTCTTATGGCCTATAGACGCTTGTGAACGGATAAATGAGGTAGCACTTGGATAAAAATAAAATACTCCATGCAGCTCAACACAGGTTTCGGACAGGCAGGTCGTCCGCATCTAATCTTCCCATAGTACGGGACAGTTGAACATCCTGCTTGGACCCAAAAATACCGATGCAGGTAATATTTCAGGACTTTACAAAAGCCTTCGCCAAGGTTGCGGAAATGGGTTTGACTAACCCACTCGTATCTTGACTCAGAAACTACCTTGAGAATAGAAAGCTTCGTACCAAGGTAGATAGAGCGCACATCGGAAATTTCACAGCGGACCATCTTTGGTCCGCCTTTGTTCCTGATATTTATTAACGACCTGTTAGGCTCAGTTAACCCACCGGTATTGATATACGCAGACGATGAGATCTGGAGGTCCATTAGAAGGGGAGTCGACTTAGCTTCAAAAGGACCTTACATCCACTGAGGATCGGGCAGTGAAAAACGGTTTAAAACTAAACCAGCCGAAGTGTCACGTCATGTACATTTTGCCCCACATGACGCAGACGATTTACATCCTCAACGGAAGTTCGCTACATAACGTCTCGTCAGGGCGCGATCTCGGTTTCATGACCGCTGGAAGCCTTCGCACCAGCTCGAACCGTATAGATGACACAGCCAAGGCAAATGCAACTCTTTACTTTATGCGAAGACGACTTGATGCTGTCATCTCTGAGTTACTCTTAACGCTGTTTAAGTCAAATGCACGCCCACGTCTTGAGGTTCACAACGTCGTCGCACCCCCTCATCTTAAAAGAGACGTAAATCTCTTGGATCTAGTGCACAAACAAACAACGAAATCGGTGATAGAGTTGAAGAATAAAACTCACGAAGACAGACTACAGCACTTGGGATTATTCTCCCTGAGTTACAAGAAAAGCAGGGGTGATCCGATCACGGCGTACAACCTATTAGGCACTCCAAACCATCCCGATGTGAGCATCTTACTGACGCATCACCACGCCTCCTTAGGTGATCCTTGAAAAATTGCGCATCAAAGAGCGAATACTCAGGTTCGTGCACACTCTTTCTCATTGAGAGTTGTCGTAACTTGGAATACTCTCCCAGCCGAGTTGACCATAGCCTGCTCAGTAGAGAGCTTTAGGAAGATACTTGGTAAACGCTTACTCACATACGGATTATCATCTCTCCCATGGATAAGCTGTGCCTGACGCAAATCCTGAGACCTGATAGTTGTTATTGTTGCCATCTCCTCAGATCAAGAAACTTATCTTCACATTGCGACTAAGCGATCTCCGGTCTGGTAATGTGATAGCTGCTGGTATCCAGAAACCCTACTGCCCTGAAACAAATGTTTCCAATCAAATCACGGGACATACATACTCGCAATTAACTGTCAGCTGACTAGAATTAGACAGTCGGGTGACTAGAACCCTATTCATTGGATATTACTGAACAACCGGAACTGAACCGAAAGAACAAGAATCTATCGTAAAGAAATCAATTGGTTTACACAAGCTCGTGAAAAAGATATTGGATATTGGAACTGATTCTAAATGACTCATATCAGTTGAAGCCTTCCTTTATCATCGATCTTCGAGAAGATTCTAGTAAGATTTCGAATTTGTCAGTAAACCTTTACAAACTAGCGCGAAGTCCTCGAAGAAACGGATTGGATATCGGATGACTCAAGCGGTCAATTTCAAACTTGACAGGTTGGCGGGATGGTGAGTTGTCCTTTATGTAGTATCCAAAAGTTAAGGTTTTGTTGGCTGCCTCTATATGTACTCGCGATGGCAAAGGTATTTTCGTTTCGAACATTTGTATTTGATTTACTTAGCTTTGGTATCCCGACAGTTTGTGGAAATGACGAAGGCAAGAATCGAAGGATTAATAGCAACGTTTCCAAAGCTTCTGGGAACAGGTTGGTTTTCGTTTTATGTTTTTGGAAGACTTAAGTTATTATTTGTTCACCCTTGATTTATATTGTTCTTCATAGTTGTAAGCTGCTTTTTCCTTCCTGGCTGAAAATATACCCTACTAAACCTAGATCTTCAGCTTAATAAAGGTTTTTTCACTAGAACGCATTTTTCAAAATAAATCACTAAGCTCATGTTTTGTAGCCATTTTATTAACTACACACCCCTGGGTTCCTACATCTTTGTTTCCTGGCGTGCTATTTCGATAGTGTTAATTAGCTGTTGAATCCACTTGTTTATATATCCAGTTTCATGCGTTGTCCAGCGAACAGGAATATTTGATTAACAAGCTTTGGCTTCTAACCGATCGTTGTACGTCCATGAAAGTCTCGTTAAAAACTAAAACTTATTTTTCTAATAGTCCTGATTTCGTTCAAACTGTTTACTTAAAGTATTTTATTTTGGCGGAAAATAAACGTAAAAATATCATTTGACATACTCTCATCACGAAACTTGGTTGAATTTCTCATCCTCAGTCTAAAAAGCGGCTGATGACCCACTTGCTTGAAATAATCTTTTCCTCCAAGTTCACATTTGGTATCACTGTTTATGGAGATGTGGTAACATGATTTGTCATCCGTGCGGTTGATTTTCCAGAGACGTGTGCCTTTAAACTTATCAGTTTTTTTACAGAATACATGTTTAGATTTTGGGGTAGCTTTTATGCTTTGTGATTGCTAGTCGATGAAAACAGATTTTACCTATTGATGGGTTTTGTAATCGCATTTGGACAGTTACTGGTAAAATATGTGTCACACAGACCATTAAATTTGTTTGTAGGTTGATGTATTGCTAGGGTTCCGAAACAGAAGCAGGCTTTTTTCTAAGGGAAATACTCCTCGAGCCTTCAACTTAGAGGTCTAATCCACAAGACAGTGAAGCAGTATCAAGAGATTTGTTCCTACTGTAGCTTTTGACCTACAGTATGTTCATGCACCAATTTTTGCCTCAGGATCGTGGAGATCATGTGCACCATTGGTCTGGAATCAGGATTTTCCAACTAGCCTAGGTGAGTGAATTCTCCGTACCCACTGTTTCATCTTTTAAGACATCACAGATCTTTCGAAAATCCTGGATTTCGCTGTTTTAATTGTACTTGTTTTATGTACTTAAACTTTTCCGTTATCATACGGATTTTCGTTTTTTGTGTGCTGCCCCGAACAACTGCTTTAATGTATTGCCTTCCATCATACTGAAAAGGCTCGTGCCTAATTTCAAGTTTGAAGAGTAACTTTTGCTCATGAAATCCTTCTGTGTTTATCTGTCTGACTGATTTAACAGAACCGTTCCTGTATATTTTTTTGCCTTCTAGGTAAACAACATACATTTGTGGAAACAGAATCTGTACGATATGTTTATCAACCTTTGGAAAGATTGTATGTCCTCCTGATAACTACCAAAGCTAGCAATATACTCGAAGATTTAGAGACGTTACGACTTTTTGCACGAGTGGTATGTTTAGGAAATATTTTAATGAATCATTATGCGTTCTTAATATTCTTTCTACTTAGATTTTCTTTTATCTTGTATATACAGATACCAGAATATGCTTGTGGTACCGATGAAAACGATATATTGACACATGCCTTTCAACTTATTTTCGCATTCGATGAAATTATAGCTCTAGGCTATAGAGAAGATGTAAATCTGTCACAAATTCGAACATACACTGAAATGGATTCACATGACGAACGTATTTTCCGTGCTGTTCAGGAGGTATGTTCTTAATCGTGCTATTTTCAGATATTTTTTCTGATTATTTTTGAAAGACTTTCAGTTCTACATTATGACAACTTATTAGATTTCCTGATTGTTTTATTACTAATGTTATTAAGATTCACATTCCTATGTTGTTTTTCGAGAAGTACTTTAGTTGCTAATTTTGAGTCAGACATTTTTGATATTTTTCAAACTGATTTTTACATATGTTGCTTTTTAGAATAAAGAACGTGATGCAAAGGAGCAGATGAAGCAGAAGGCACGTGAACTACAACAGGCTCGATTAGAAGCTTCAAAGCGCTCGGGTGGTATGAGTCTTTCAGGATTTCCTAACTATCATGGTGGAACAGGAATGGGCAGTCTTTCAAATGACTTAAGTAAGCTTCTATGTATTAATTTGAATTGTATCGGAATCAAAGTATTTATTCACTGGTATGGGTCAAAATTTTAGTATGTTCATATTTTCTTTATTGTCTTAGGCGTTTAATTTACTTATTGTATGATTTTCCCACTTGCTTACTTCGTTGTTTACATAACCCATTTTACAAGTAAAAGTTAATATACCCACTTATGAGCCATACCTTTTGTTAGGTGGTGATATTACATGGGTGTCTAAACTAGAGTGTATGGAGCGAAGTTTGAGCCCAGTGAGTACTGATTTGTAGCTTTGTACTGCAGCCACTCCTTATCATATTGTACTTTATGTAGGTTAAGTACAAAGTAATGTTTGATGAGCATATTTACACAGGACTGCAAAATTTCCTCCCAAGCTATTATAAATATGTAAAATGTCTATCGGATGATTATCTCGAAATTGTGACTGTTTACTAATCTAATACTCTACAGCTTACCATTTGTAAATTGTCCTCTTTTTTATGATATAAGAAAATATAAGTCATATTAAACAGAGGCAGAAATCATTGTTAACACTGAGTTTATTTACATCACCATACAATATTTGGTATTCCTACTATAAAATAAAGCAGCAATAAAAGTGACCATTAAGTAAGCTCGATACGGATTGTATTTACCGCTTCCAGGTTTTTCTTGTTTCGTAGGGCCTGTTGTTCTACATTAGCATTTAGAATGTTTAAATAAAGCTCGTCCCATTGGCAGATCACTAGTTACAGTTGTAAAAAGAGGTGTTGAATATCTATCGAATTTCTTTCCTGTTACACACATGATTCACTTTGTATTTTTAAAAATGGATTTAAACGGATAAATATGTATTTGCACATTCAAATCTGAGTAAATATTTATCATCATGTAAATTAAACACGTAAGACCAGGAAATTTTCTCGTAAACACGCAAGTGTTACAGAATAATATTGATTTTGGTTATATAGACATTAGAAACAACGTTAGTTTTTGTCAATTATCATTTCCTCCTGTTTTGTGAAAACGTTTTAGTATATTTTGTAGAATTTATTGACTTGTAACATCCAACCGCAACATTTTTTTTACGACGTTCGAGTCACGGAACTATGAACGTGTCTGTATGTCAATTTAGTCCTGGTCTCACGCGTTACTCCAGATCTTTTATAGAAGCGGAGAAGGCGGGATAGACCAGATGAAATGCGTGTATTTGCTGACGATTTCTTAGTATCGAAGAAGTACCAAAACATGCCAGACAATAGACGACAGTACAGAGCAGCCAAAACAAAATGGCGGCCGGAAAGAGGAGGCGCTATGTGACCGTAATATTAGTATATATACCAAAAAAAACAAAGATCATTGCGTACAAATATTCGATAATACTTCCACTGGTACAATTGATTGTTACAATGAATGTTGCTATTTTATAACCAATCGTGTTTTTTTACGTAAAAGTGAAATCACTACAAACGGGTTTTTTTGTTGTTGTTGTGTGTATTCTCTTTTATCTCACAATCGATAAACAACAGATGAACCTCGTGTGATCGTAATGAAAGATCGTTCAGGAGATAATAATGTGGATAGTTTAGGCTTGCCTGCTGCTACAAATACACCAACTATCCTAGCATCAGTTAAACGAAGTGGTATGCAACTTGGCGGTCAAGGTGGTCAAGGTGGTTTGAAAAGCATTGATCAATTTGTGAATCGTTTAAAAGCTGAAGGTGAAATAGTCAATGATGAAGATATTATGAAATTAGTCAATAAATCAGATGGAACAGATAATTTACTGAATAGTAATTTCAATTCTGCATTGAGTCAAACAACTCATGTTAAAAAAGAAAAGTAAGTTGGATATTTGTATAAAAAGTTTGAAGAAAATTTACTTCTCAAATAAACATGTCTTTATGGTTGAATAGTAAGCAAATAGTAATAATCAAAGGATGAGTCTACTGCTCAGCAGTTCACTCTGTCCTACTCTATGGGTATGAAATAGGATATTCGTAGGTTACTGGCTTTCGATTATAGGTGTCTGAAGCATTGCTCGTTTATCTTGGGACTGTCGAGTAAGCGATGCTGTTGTTAGGAAAAGGGTTCTAGGAAAGGATGGCAGATCAATAGATGAAGTAGTGAATGTTCATCAGTTGAGGTGGTTTGGATATGTATCACGTAAGCCTAACCATCAACTGCCTCGACAAGCGATGTTATGTGATGTAGGAGTAGGCTGGAAGAAAGTCAGTGGTAGACAATCCAAAACATGGCAGAAATTCATGGAGTCACTGTCAAGTGGACTGAGCCATGTTGGTGGGTGTAGACAATAGTAACCGATGTTTAGAGACTTCGAATGACAATAGCTCAATACCGTTTGCAGTGGTGCAGTTGCATCCACTCTTTGTGTTCCCTGAAATTAGAATTTTCTGAATTTCTAATCACCTTTATTTTTGTCTTTTTAATGTAATTTCTCTTAATCATACTTCTCAAAGTTTATCCCCGATCAATAGTCTTTTCCATTACCGCTAATATTACTACAACCTCTACTACTATGTGATTTTAATTAACAATTCCATCTCCGTGCTAATGTGGTATGTCAACTTGAACTGATGTAGCACGTACGTACGAAGTTCTACGTTATAGCTGACTGACTTCAACCAGATGGTCTGAACACAAAACAATATGCTTCAGTGAAACAGTGAATAACTTGATATCAGGTCTTGATTTGAGACCCCCACTACCTTTCAACCTAATACTGCATTAATTAACTGACAATAATCCAAAACGTATTTCCTTATACATTGTACTAGTTTTTTTTTTAATTTAAAGTTTGCATTTACGAATTGAAGAGAAATTAATCGTTCAAGCTGGTCGTGATGGTGGTTTAGAAAGTATGGAATTACAAGGTACAATGTTTGCACAAGCTATCACCAATGAAGCATGTGAAGCTAAAATTAAAGTTGATACAAGTTCATGTACAAATCCATCCAATGAACATCGGCCACCTGTTCAACTTCAAACACATCCTAATATTGATAAGAAAGTATTTATGGTGAGTAGTTTATTCTTTCGATATTTTCAGATCATACTTACTTACTTACGCTGCCGACCAGCAAATTATTTTTCCTAGTTAGCGTTTTTCTAGCGAGTTAGTTTTCTACGAGATGGAGTCGCTAACCCCATACCTAGTCCCCCCATTCTTTATCCGGGTTTGGAACCGACAGTAGCCCCAGGCGGAGTTCTCGAAATCACAATTCCTTAATGGTTGTTATTGAGGAAATTATTATACAATGCTGAAAATATTTATTGCAGCCAAACTGAATACAATTTTCTACAATCGCTCACTAATGAGGATCAATAATAAAGATAAACTACTTGAATTCGCCGCATTTTGTATGTATTTATCATTTCAACTGCTCCTCTGTAGCTCCTTTGTTATCGTATAGTAGAATCACACATCCGCCTAATTTCATCAAAAGACAGCTAAGAGTGATTACGAGTTCTATTCTCTCACTCTCTCTGTATCACTTGGTGGACCCAAGACATCATCATGTTAATTTAAATAAATAATTTGAATTTATCTACTATATTCTATCAAATTTACCACATAGTATACGAGTCTTATTTTTCGCATATTAATGAAGCTATCGAAATTCATATGCATAAATCTAATTTTTGTACACTCATAAGAATTCTGTACAACTACTCTCCTTACCTTGGTCATCAATATAGGAGTGTGTTTTTGCGGCATTTAGGTTAACTCCCGATTATTATTTCACAAAAAATTACCTTCAAACGAGTTTCTTTTATTTTTTGGGTTCTTACATGAATTCAATATCCATCTTTTGATTCTGTACACTTGA